GGTCAAAGGTGTTTCTCTTTACCAATCTGAAAATCTGGTCACCTTAATATAGAAGCATAGAAGCAGCTGCACAAACAGGCTGAAGAACAGTTTTCATTCATGGGCTGTCAGATTCCTGAATGCAAAATAACATAACTAAGTAGTACAAGGGACTTGCAGGGACAGCACAACTGTAACATTCACACTGGTGTAATGGGACTGAGTGTTTGTTAATATGATTTATTGGGTTTGGGTATATTTTTTCTTTGTCTTCACTGTGAGTTGTATTGTGTTGGGGAGGTGCACTGAGGGAGCTCAAACAATCTCATTGTACATATGTTGTGCCCTGACAATAAAGAATTATTGTTATATAAATATAATGGTTGAAGTCGGGCTAGCCGGACCAGCCGATGGCAGGACAGATAAAAATGCCGAGCGTCGTCTCTCGTCTATCAACTGGAAAGAATATTTCATATTTATGTTTCCTGATCATGTGTACCTTACGCCGGTTTGTGTGGAACTTAAGGCTACAATTCGCAGCTCTCGCGATTGCCTTCGAATAACGTGTGGTTCCTTCCTTGCCCTTTAACTTTTGTTTGCAGTTACGACTATAAGCCCGTTGCGAAATAAAACCACCGGCTAAAGCAATGGGTGCAGCAAAGCCGGTTTAGTTACTCGGTTAGGACCCAGCCACGTAAGTTTCGGTGCAGCGCTCAAATACTAGGAGAGCATTGGGGGGGATGGGGGAAGGCGGCGCCAGCATACCTGCAGGGTGTTACCTCGGCCCATTCCCCCCCATCTCCAGTACTTGGGGGGGTGGCGGGGGGAGTTTTGCTTTGAATTGCGTTTGAACTAATATTTCTCCCCAAAGGGTAACGTAGCAAATGGGGGAGGGAGCGGAGATGCAAGACCACCGCGGAGAACCCTCTGTTTAGCGCCGCCCTCCCCCCTAACTGGGGCTCCGAAACAAACGTCCCTCAGATTTTTTGGAAAGCTAAAGGAGGGGGGGGGGGTCCGGGCGGGAGAAGAGGCGGGGTTTTGGGGGTGGAAGGTTCCTCGGCACGCGCTTTCGGCTCGCACCGCTGACCCCCCCCCTCCCCGCACCTCCTCCATCACCGTCCCTCCCACCCTCTCTCTCCCTTGCTCTGTCAACCTAGCTCTGGCAACTGAAGGACACGGAGATTAGCCGATGGGGAGGCCGCGTCTTCCCAAAGCCGGCCAATAAGAGCATGGAGGAGGGGCGGGGAGCTCGGCCAGAGTCAAGTGCGCGTGCGGATGGTTGCTAGAGGCGCTTCTCCCTCCCCTCTCCTGCTCACTTTTGTTGTGGCTCGGAGGGAAGGAGAGAGAGGGAGCTGCGGTGTCGGCGGTTGCAGCGACCACCCCCTCCACACACGGACCTCCTCCCCCGGTTTTGGTTTTGGTAGAGGAGGGAGAGGAAGGAGGAATGACCCCCCTTTCCCCATAGGCGCTAAGCCTCCTTGCTCGGGAAGGAGAGGGGAGCTGTCTCTGGTGGACGTGGGCTCCGAGCTTAACCCAGGAGCCCTTTCCCCACTTCCACGCCAAAGCCCGAGAAGAAAGATAAAACGCCTCCCCCCCCCAATCCCTTGAACCGCCCCAAAAGGGTCCTTGGAGGAAGGGACCACGCGTGTCCGTCTCAGGTAAGTGAAGAGCTGGTATGTGTATGTATGTGTGTGTGTGTGCAAGGGCATAATAGATCCCCCCCCTTCCTAATTCCCTCTATCTGCGATATGGAGGGGAAGCCCACCCGGTTCCTCCATTGGTGTTTGTGGAGAGCGGGGGGGGGTCCCACTCCCCCCCCCCCTTGCTACTGCAGCGTCGTCTCCTTGTTTCAGTGAAGCTTTTTGCAGAGCTTTCCTTGCAAGGGCTCGTTCTTTTAATGGGGACCCAGGATGCGGTGGAATTGGGGGGCTCTTTGCTCTCTCTCCCCCTCCACGATTAGACAAGTCTTCTTAAAAGAGGGAAGGGTCCTGCCTTAC